GAAGACTGCAGTAATGATGCTGAAAATTCAGCTTTGCATCAAAGGAATGCAGTAAAAACAGTAATATTGGGAAATGTTATTACAATGTAAAATAACTATTTTCTATTAGAATATTGAAGTGTACAAATGTACACGTACGTTTTTGATTTGTACACTTCAATATTCTAATAGAAAATAGTTATTTTACATTGTAATAACATTTCCCAATATTACTGTTTTTACTGTATTTTTGATTAAATAAATGCAGCTTTAGTAAGCATAAGAGACTTTAAAAAAACAAAGCAAAAAATCAATCGGTCCTCAAAGTTTTGAATGATTCTTTAGTTTAACGACAAATGTTTTTTTTAAATGGTGCATATGAAAATAGTCTCTAAAAAGCTAATTAAATACAATCCAGTGAGAACAAGTCTGTGGACTGTGTTTATGCACCAGGTTTGTGTTATGGTACCTCTGACAGCCCCTCACACTGCACATGTGCCTGGATCCACTCCAGCCGGTCTGAGTTTTCTTTCTCTCGCACGCCTTCGTTGACTTGCGAGCACAGCTCTTCAGCCTTCTCCAGAGCCAGCCGCAGGTGACTGTGGTCCGGGTGGCTTTCTGGAGTGTTCTCTAAAATCTGTGCATGGAAGGAGAAGAAACACGAGACCATGGGTCCAGATACAAAAAGCCAAAGGGAAGTGATGTCAAAGTAAAAGAGTACAGATGGTGATGAATACATTGCTTCTTTATTTGCTTTTTAGCACATAAAGTTTCGTTTTCAGTGTGTCACTGGTTCTTCATACAGTAGTTGGGAAATAGTTGATTATCAACGTACGTTTTTGATGATGAGGGGGTATCGGGTGACTCTCTGCATGGGTTTGAGGAGGAAGCTGGACAGGGGCATTCCCTTACAGCGAGGGTCCATCGCCAACCGCTGTAAAACATGCAAACATACATAAAATATCAACTACGCAAGTCACTTCAAGTCCATTTCTATAGCCCTTTATACAATGCAGATTATACAATACAGATTGTGCCTCACAGAGATAAAATACGCAGACTCAATTATGAATTAACAATCAATAAACATTGTGGTTTTTCTTCAAAAAAATATAAAAATGTTGTTAAAACAATTTAAAAATGACTTGTTATTACAGTTAAAATCCGCGAACAATACCACAACAAAAACAGAAACTGGACATTTTAATAAAAAAACTTAAATTAAGCATTAAGCCATAGTCTCACCTTAACAAACTCTTTGAATTCGGGCACCTCGTCTGTTTTCTGCTGAATGAGGGTGGCTCCGTTGAGCTGGCAGCTGCAGAAGCGGATGTACGGCTGCATGTGAGGAAGCTGAGCCGTCAGGATGTCACCGATCATCTTCACTGGCATGCGCTCACCTGACATCTTCTTCCTCACCCGCAACGCCCTGGAGACAGTCAGAGAGGCATTCTGGGTAAGCCACGTAATGCTCATTATATGGAATTACATCTGATCTATTCTTATAGTTGTCTTAACATCTGTTTCATAAAGCTGCGAAGTATGAACATTTAATTAAATGACCTGACATGCTGCATTACTTTAATACACACTGATGCCCTGCATTCTCATTAACAGCTTTAGAGCAGTTTCTATCATAGAATAAACACAATTGGAGCTTAAACTGATGATGGAGTCAGGATTTTCTCTGTGTTAATCAGTAGGTGGCATACTTGAGCAGTTTAATGTTGCACATGATCAGCTCTTTCCAGTTGACAAAGATCATGGCCACCTCCTTCTCAGTCAACAATTCCGACTCCAGCAAAGGCTTCTGGAACGTCTGAAAGCAAACCATAAATATTGGTTAGAACTTTTAAAAATACAATTACATACTTATTAACAGCAGTTTCTTGACTTTTTTTAAACATCAAACAACAGAGCTGACTACTATTGATCTTGGCCACTCTATAGGCTTGATTAAACCTTCATTGCTTATGAGTTTTACCTCAGTGACTAGCTGCAGGTCATTGACATAGTTCTCCTCTGTAACAATAAGCTCATGTGTGTAACCCTGCCTCTTCCGTTCCACTGGGGTCAGCATGTCGAGCAGGTGGAGGTCGGCACACCCTGGGAAACGCACAGACGTCATGCAGTCACATCTCATGCTTAGATTAATACATTACAAAAAGATTAATAAATAATTAGTACATTAATTCAGTTGTAATTTAAGCAGACAAAAATCAAGCACTTGCAACAAACTTGTATTACTTTGGTAAGAATAATACTGGAAATTAAAGCTGAATGTTTTTTCTCTGTGCATTAAGTAAGCACTAATGTATGATCATTGCAAAACAAAGGGCCTGATATGAAGCGTATTACACTTATCAAATAAATAACTGGACATGCAACATTGATTTGAGTTGAACTTACTTCATTATGTGAGAAGAAAGAGATGACGGAGTGATACGAGGCATAACTAGCAGTTATTGTAGGAATACGCTCAACTATACAAAAATATTTGACCGCAGAATGCTGCGATTGCCCAATCAGAATCAATTATTCCAGACAGCTGTGTAACTAAATGTTCATTTACTTCTATAGAATATACATGCAGGCATATTACTCAAGCAATGCTGATTTTATGCTATACGAGTCATGAATGAATTATTATTGTGCATTCAAAAACATTACGCATGTGATATTGACACAATTGCTTCATCTGGTAGCAGATTGAAAATAAATAAATAAA